TGTTTTTTGCCTTGTGAGAAAGAGTTTATCTCCAATGTTGTTTCTTGTTTTATGTTTTTTAAATAACCTCATGGGTGTAGACCTAGGCCACCTTCTCTTAAGTGCTTTACTAACCTACAAACTTCCCAACAATTGGCAGTTTTGTTACTTAAAAAATAAAAAATAAAAAAGGTGGCATTTTTGTTTACAGATATACATGGGCATAGTATCCTTGCTACAAACTGTATGGGTTGCAGATGAAGTTCTTATTTCTCTGCTGTTACTTGTTGGATAAGGTTTTGATACCTTGTCGAATTTATTTGTTTTTCATTGGTGATACGGATGGTGATGGCGATGGTGACAATGACGATGATAATGATGTTACTGATGAGGATGACGATGATTATGATGAATCCGGTGATGATGGTTCTAATGATTGTGGTGATGATGGTTCTAATGATTGTGACGATGTCTATGATGACGATTTAAATGATGGATGACAATGGTGACGATGATGAGGATAATGATATTTATATTGGTGGTGATCATGTTGCTAATGATGACGCTTAATGCTGATGATTTTCTTCTTTCTGTTTCCAGGTGAGACCCAAGACAAGGGGCTGGAATTACCACCCCTTGGCTTCACCCCAGGACCTGATGTTGCAGCTGTTTCCGTTGCAAAGGCGAAGGACAAGTTCAGAGAATGTTGGAGATAATTCTGCTGAGCGACGTGAACTGCTTGATTTTCTTTTGACATTTAACACCAACAGTGATGGTTCCTCAGATGATGGCAGTGATACCTTTGTTGCTGATTCTGCAGAAGACTTCTTTAATTGATTGGTGCTACATTCAACTTTTGTTTTATGAGATACTCTAGTAATTGTACATAACGTAGCAAATATTTTGGTGTTCTACTCTTTCATTTTGAATCTGTTGGATACCTGCTTATTTAGTAAAGCTTTCATTCTTTTATCGATTTTCTTATTATTGATCTTTACATGTCACAGTTATGTTTCATCTATGTTTTCATACTGTTGGATGTTAGTGGTTTAAAATTTTCGTTCTCAGAAGGCATTTCAGATTAGGAATCTTAGAGCAACTTCACCCAATATGCCAATTCCATGTGGAATGTGGCAATCCAACGGCTCAGTTTTTGGCTGCAAGAGTGAGCTCGAACCGGTGTACAAAAAACTGACATGGCTTTTGGCATCACTCTTGCATGTCGATTTTGACACGCTCTTACTTCATGCCTTTTTTTGGAAATAAAAGAGCTTTCATGTAAAATAAAAGAGTTTAAATTTAAAAAATAATAGATTAATAAATTTAACATATCGGGTGGAGAGTTTTTATTTTCATGTTAAATTGACATATGCTAATTTGTTACCCAAGTTTTTAAAAAATTTTGCCATCAAATTTTAAAGGTTTGGGTGGAGATGCGGGATGTTCTAGAACTCTTACGTTTTGCTATTGATGACATGGTTTCTGCGAATGATATAGCTCGTGGTGAATCTCTCATTTTAGGTCTCTACTGCAGTGTTTATTGCTAAAAGAGGGTATTACCTTAGCTGAGTTTCATTTCTACAGCAATCTAATTGAATCTGAAATATATGTTTTCCTGTCTTTGTATTCTGAAACGGGTAGCTGCCAGTGCTGAGTCTGTGTGTGTGTGTGTGTGTGTCTGAAAAAGATGAATCTCACGAGGACTTCTAGTTTGTGATCCTTATTTGTTGCAAAGCAGATGTTGGAATAGCCGTTGGCAAGAGACCAGGCCTGATGCCCACTCTCTCTCTCTCTCTCTTTCTCTCTTGAAAAGGATATCTAGTTTGAGATTTTTGTTTGTAGGAATGTAGATGTTGGAAGAGCCATTGGCAAGAGAATAGGCCTGATGCACACTCTAGAGACGTCTCCAACTTCAATTACATACAATTTCTCTGATATGGTGACTCAAATTAGTGCTGAGTCCAAGTGAATTTGAATGAGAATAAGAGTAAGAAATCATCCTTCCAAGTAAAATGTAATGAAAAAGTTTACATGCACAAAAGGAACCAAACACAGAATGTATGGATGTGAAACAAATGTTCGCATCTCACATTTATGCATTCTGTCTTTGGTTCCTTCTGTGCAAGTAGCTTGGCTGAACCTAATAAAAAGAGACTGAATTTCTGGTCACATACATATCTTCCCCTGCCACAGGCTCTCCAAGGCTGAGGTTCTTAATATTGGTCCTGCACTGCACACATGGGTAAATCATGATGAAGCATTTTGACTGATTGCCTGAGACTAATATATCTAGATGTTAAATAGCATCTAGTTTGAGTAATACTATACAAACATTAATTTTTATATATAATGATGTGGCGGTTCTTTCATTTTTAAACCGAAATTTCCACCTTTGTAGCTTATAATTTCAAAAAAAGTCATTGTCACATCATTCTGAATAGATCTTATATATAAATTTATATTTTGAGGTCATTTTCCATCTAATTTTTACATAATGGTGCATGACATGTTTGTTATGAGTAAGTCTACCACTTAAATCATCAAGAATACATGCTTGTTAGTACAATATGACCCATCTCTAATGAAAATAATGAAGATATCTATGAATGAGGAAATCTTTGATACTTTCAGGCCTTATTGTACGACAGACACTCTTGATACTTTCTGTGAATTAATTCTTTCTCATTTTTTTTCTCTTGAGTTGCCTCTGCATTATATATATACATATATTTTTTCCCGGTGTGAGGGGAAAAAGAACTAGTTGGAATCTGAAAGTAGATCACCTGGGAGAGAAGTAGCTGGCAAGTTGGATGCGCATCCAACCTGCAGAAACCCAGTTAACTTCTGATGAGACCTCTTATCTTCAAGAGAAGTGATTCTTGAAAAATAAAAATAAAAAAATTTAGTGATTCAACAACCTTGTTGAGAAAAGTAAATGCAAACATTTCTTGTAAAAAATATCTCTTTTGGTCCCGAGATTTCCGTGCTGATAAACTCATCATTGGCCTTGACAGATCATCATTCGTTGAAACCCTCTCCATTTACACAATCAAACCTTCAATCTTCTTTCTAATTTCACAGGCCTTTCTCTTCATCTCCTGATCACCCTAGCCATCACTGTCTTGAGGTTACTTGAGCTAGCAGGTTGTGGGTGGGAATGTGACATTCCATGAGGAAGCTTAATCATGTTCCATGATTTGTTCAGGTTACTTGGGCTAGCAGGTTGTGGTATGTGACAATCCATGAGGAGGCTCTTAGACTTAAAAGGGTGATTGAAACCATGGTCTTCAAAGGGCCGAATGGCGATGATTGTACAACATCAAGGGTGACTTTCTAAGGCATCAAAGGGCCGAATGGCGATGATTAAAGGAATGAGATGGTCTTCACCCATGAATGAAATCTCTCTCTTCACAATGCTACTATTGGTGAACTTCATCAGAACATGCCCTTGCTACCTTGGATGAGTTGGGTTGTGTCGTAAATTCCTCAAACAACTCGAGGAACAGGGCAAGCTTCTTGATTTTGCTTGTGAAATATCTGATTTGAAAAATTCTCCGATCTCAAAGTATAGACAACTTCATGTCTACAAGAAGATTTATTTTCAGATATTGTCTTCACTGAACCTTTTCTTTCAACAATATATATCCCACCTTCTCAATGGACGGATACAATTTATAAAATGAAACAATAAAATGCTTCTTTGACTCAAATCAGAGTGTTGTTATTGCCGCCATGTATACATCTATTTATTATAATTATGTACCAAGGTCAAACAAGAAAACAGGTCTATATCAGAAAGATAAATAAACATATGTAAATGAACAGGAAATTTGTCAGCTTATATGATCATAACTGTTGTCATTTTGGAGGACTTTGTAAGTCACTGTCCTACATGACTTTCAGTACCATTTATTGTTGTCTTATGCACTTGGATTAATGGGTAAGTGACACATACGTAAAAACATACAAGAGTAGAGAAGGCCTTGTTGCCACTAGAGTTTATCGTTTCAGCTAACATATTGTATAAGGAAGTTTTCTCAATGGAAACATGTTTTTGTCATTTATAATCCAAGCTAGCAGAAAGGAGACAATCGAAAGAGATCCACCAGAGTTTGCAACATCGACCAATACATGTCGTATCAAACTAATCATGTTTGAATTTGAAAATAGGACATATTCTTAGTAGATATAAAGGTATTAAGATATATGTCAGTGTTGACTATACGATCATATATATAGATGATATCAGACAATATTGACTAATATTGTAAGTCCAAAATCTCAATACATCTTGTTGATGCACCTAATGGTTACATTTATCTGGTGGGAATATACTTTGTTTTGAAATTCCTCCATCCCCTCCACCACCCTCACCATTCATCATCGTTATCATCATTTGAAGGACAATTGATCGATTACATTCCACTACGGGACTTTGTTTGACCTTTGATCGATCCCTTCTTATTTTTTATTCTTTGAAGTCAACATGAGCTAGGTGGCAATAAAAACTAGGCTGGATTTGTCTCACATGTTGTTGAGCAAGTACATGATATCTTCTAACAATGGAATGTTGTTTAAGGACTCCACCTTAATAGATGATTCACCATGAGAGTGAGGGAGTAGAGAGTCCTCTTCCAACTTCTATCTTCAAGATTGGCCTTGTCAAAAACATTACCGTTGCACATTTTGTACCAGTATCCTTGAAAAAAATTCTTATGCATACTGCTTCAACCATTGATATTTGATACAAATGCATTGATAGGCAACAGAAGAGATACAATTGCAGTAAGGAAAGGTAGGTAGTTAGTAAAAAAAATTTTTTTTTTTTTCACTCGTCAGAACCTACAATAAAGGTAAGGAACAGTAAATTGCAGCTAAAAGTGACCAAAACAAAATAAACAAAAATAGAAGCTCAAACATTTGAGCAATGTAGAGGAAGCCAGCAGCTAAGGTGCTGGCCCCACACATGATAAAAGGCATGTTGGTTCTGTATTTTTTAAGCTGAAAGTTAATAATCAAAAAACATTTTCTCCCAACTTTTAGATAATTGTTTTTTTTTTTTTTTTCGACTTGTTTAAGCTAGTTTTATGTTGTAAGTTCTAAGCAAAAATTATACCAAATATTCTTGCACAAGTTATAAACAAGTAAATAAAATTTTGTAAACAACTCTAATAAATTGCACCAAACAAGACCAAAACCCCCTAAGGTCTGCTGTGTCTTAGAAGTGTGTTGTAAGTTATAAGCGAAATATTCTTGCACAAGTTATAAACAAGTAAATAAAATTTTGTAAACAACTCTAATAAATTGCACCAAACAAGACCAAAACCCCCTAAGGTCTGCTGTGTCTTAGAAGTGTTGCATGTCTTATAAGAAAGAATCATGATAGGAAAATGATATGTATACAAAATTTAAGATCAAAATGATGTGATAATATATATATATATTTTTTTTTTTCTTTTACAATTATGAAGTATAGTGATGGATAATTTGACTTTCTATAAATGATTTAAAACAAGACACTATGAAATTTTTGTATGCAAATTTCGTTTGTATGAATAGTATTACCCATCCGCATGCATCCACAGAAATTAGAATGGTGTTATTTACGAGGGAAAAGTGGTCACAACCGTATTAACTGTCGCAGGCTCACTCGCACATGAAGGCCCAGCGTACGATGGACTTTCATTATCATTTTAAAGCTGTCCTTTTTGGGTTCCAAATTGGCCCCTACCTAGTCTGATCAAAGGCCAATGCATGGTTCATTGGGCTTGGATTCGCTTACTGGTGTAATTTTTGTTTGGCCCATTGGACCATTAAACTTTCATTTTCTTTAAGGACCCAAAAAAAAAAAAAAAAAAAAAAAAAAAAAAACACACATACACATTAAGGGTGTTCGCGGATCGTTTTTGTGCGGTTTGCGGTTCGGTTTTGACCCACCCGCATCTATACGGTTTGGGAAAAAGTCAACCCCGCAACCGTCGGCA